AAAAAAACCTAGCAACTAGACAAACTAACATAGCAACAAGATTGAAATAACCTAGCAACATCAGACAACTAACCTAGCAACATCAGACAACTAACCTTGCAACAACATAAAACTAACTTTGCAACTGCATAGATCTTGCAAGAATTAATAACTAAATACAACTAACCTAGCAAGAACTAATAACTAACCTCGCAATAAACCAGTTCCCAACCTCGGGTCCGGACCCCCCACTGAACAATCCCCCAAGCCGACCGGAGGCTCCGAGCTCGCGGTTTTTAATACTCCGCCAATCTCCTTCTACAGCGGGCCGACACATCCTAAAGGCAACTCTCAAGCCGGTCAACCCCCGTCGGGGCCCAAAGATGTCCGGGAGTTGAGTTCGTTGACAATACCTGTCATCTCCCAACAGGCTTCCGGCGGGACTTCCATTCCGGCGAACCATGGGACGACCCATATCCACGCGTCCCAGCTAACCTCATCCCACCTTATTGATCCACCAGCAGGAGAACCCACACCGGACATCATGTATGTAAGTGAAGACGGTGTGATTGTTGTGGGTCCAAGCAAGCCGGCAGTGGTCCACTTATCCGACACATCCCCGAATGGGACCACGCTAACGGGCAATCCAACGGCAACCACCGCTACAACCGGGCCTCTTCCGGGCACATCCAATGTTCTGCTCTCCTTTTTTACGGGGACTATGACCACGCTTTCGGGACCATCATTCGCTCCAAAGGGAACAAAGTAAAGGTCCGATTCTCACAGGCTGAAGCTGCACCACATCTGTATGACCGAGATTCCATCACCACACTTGCTAAATGTGTAGAAAAACCGGTCCGCATTGATACCCCGACTGCTCTCCAGTCCAGGGCTAATATGGCGCGATTCTGTGTCGAGATTGATCTCATAGTGGAGCCTATCCACAAGATCGAGATTGAGCGGGGTTAGGAGAACTTTGCTCAGCGGGTGATCTACGAGAATATTCCCGCTTTCTGTACCGCGTGTAGCCATGTTGGTCATACAGTGGCCAACTGCTATATTAGTGGCAATAAGCCACGACCCGCTCCGCCTCAACGCCGTCGTACGGCCCAGCCGGGACCCTCCAACAGCCGGAGGGAACCGAAGGGAAATGGTAAAGGCCCTCTCCAGACACCCGGGTCTCCAAAGGGGTCCACGGATAAGGGCAAGGCGAAGATGGACGCCACTGCCCAAACCGGGAAGGATGCTCATCCTGACCAGTCTGACCAGTTGATCATAGTTGGGCCCAAGGCCAAGGCCACGGGCTTTCTTCCTAGAGATACTCTTCAGTCAGCCTTCAAGGCCAAACACTCGTTCTTTGCTCCCCTCTCTCCTGAGTCGAAGGATGAGGCTGAGCCTTCCTCTAGGGTCCCACACTGTCTCTCAGATCTTGGCCTTTTAGATGACGACGACCTTCTAGGAGATGATTTAGAGAAGCCGGATACTTCGTCCAGTGGCCCCGCCATCCATTTATCTCAGAACAGCATTCGTGATGTTGTCCCTTTGCATGTCCATTCTCATAGCCAGGACTGCTCTCTGGAGATGAGGACAGCTCCTGCCACTGCTTCCTCGAAAGAGGAATTGCCGACTCACCTCCCCTCTACGGAGATTGGGATCTCGACTGAGCATATAGCTCTCCAGTCACACTCTGATGGTGAGCACCTGAGTGCTCTGCCAGATGGATTCTCTTCCCCTCCCCTCCCGGAGCAGTCATGCGGTCTCAACCGCGCTCAGCACGACGTCTCGTGCGAGAGTTTCGCCTCCAGTGCCTTCGTGCACCATGGCAGACAAGAGGCATGCCCGGAGATGGGACAGACTCCTAGTATCAGTCTTGGTCAGACTGCTCAGCCTGACGATTTGCAGGCCACGAGCGCTTTTCGAGGGCGTTCACCCTCGAAGACCATACCCACACCGCGCATGACGCGGCAGACTGTCTCTCCGGCCCTTCGTCGATCCTCTCACCACCTCCCCCCTCCTGCAGGTGGTTTGACTCAGCCTAGCCACAGGCAGACCTCGTCCGGTGGCTCTTCTCATTGTTGATATGTCTATCACGTCCATTACTTGGAATGGACGGGGATTGGCTAATAGGGCCACTCTCGCTCACCTTCGCTCTCTCATTCGTGATCATAGATTGTATTTTGTCGGCTTTATTGAGCCGATGATTCGTACACCTGACTTTGACTATTACTCTCGTCGATTGGGTTTCCAGTCAGGCGTGGGTAACACTTCCCATAAGATCTTCTTTTTCCACTCGTGTGATTACACCTGTCGGGTCCTCCGGGACACCGATCAGTTGCTTCATATCGAGCTCTCTGCTGCTTGAGCCCATATTCCACACTTTGGTTTATGCCAAGTGTAATAGAGTCGGGAGATACGATCTGTGGGACACCCTGCGTGAGATTGCTGAGAGTATGGATGGATTGCCATGGATGGTTAGTGGTGATTTCAACATCTTTCTGCACCCCGATGAGTGTGTGGGTGGCTGCACGGACCGGTCTCGGGAGATGTGGGACTTTGCTCAGACTGTGGCGGACTGTGAGTTGATTGATGCTGGTTCTGAGGGTGAGCCCTTCACGTGGGTTAGGGACGATCTCAAAGAGAGGCTCGATCGTGCTTTGGTCTCTGAGGCATGGTCGAAGGTGTTTGCGGTTACGGCCGTTACGCATCTCACTCGATTTGGGTCTGACCATTTACCCCTCCTCATTAGGTGTCGTTTTTCGAGTACTCCCCGCCGCGCTTCCTTCAGGTTCCAGAACATGTGGGTTCGCCACCATTCTTTCCATGACACTGTCAGGGATTCCTGGCTCCAACCGACTGGGCTCTTCAGGATGCGCAATCTCGAGGCCAAGCTCGGCAGATTGCGGCGTAGGTTGAGACAGTGGAACTGGGATGTTTTTGGAAACCTCCATCAGCGCCTTTCTGCGGCACAGAGCACGCACGCGGAGGCTGAGCGGGTCTATGATCTGGATCCTACTCCAGAGAATAGGACTGCGATGCACCGCTACCATGCCGAGTACCAGCTCCGACTCCTTATGGAGGAGGATTTCTTGAAGCAGAAGGCGGTCGTTCGCTGGGTGGCAGAGGCCGAACGGAATACTAGATTCTTCCAGGGCTTCGTTGGACAGAAGCGTGCTAAGTAGTACATCCATAGTATTGAGGCTGATGGGTCATCCCTGACCCAGGAGTCTCAGATTCGGGAGTCGGCTGCCGCTCACTTCCAGACCCTTTTCACCTCTGATAGGGGGTCACTCGCTGCCCCGACCACCTCTTTCTTCCCTACCATCCCTCCCTCGGTCAACCTTGTCGACCTCTGTGAGATCCCGAGCAGGGAGGAGGTTAGGGATGCTGTATTCGGGATTGATCCCAACAGCGTTTCTGGCCCTGATGGGTTCTCTTCCCTCTTCTATCAGGCCTGCTGGGATATAGTCGAGCCTGATGTTGAGGAGGCAGTGTTGGATTTCTTCACCGGTTACCGGATGCCGGATTCCTTCACGGCTACCTCTGTCGTCTTGATTCCCAAAAGACCCAACCCGAGCTCTTGGTCCGACTACAGGCCCATCAGCCTGTGTAACGTGACCAACAAGCTTATTTCCAAAATTCTTAACGGTCGTCTTTCCCCTATTCTCCCCTACCTTATCTCTCCGAACCAAAGTGAATTCGTCAAGGATCGGGTCATTAGTGATAACATACTTTTGGCTCAGGAGATGATCCACGATATCTCCCATGCAGACTGGAAGCGGGCACCGAACATTGCGCTGAAACTAGACATGGCTAAGGCGTATGATAGGGTGGAGTGGCCGTTTCTTAGGGAGGCACTGGCTAGGATGGGATTCCCTGAGCGATGGATCAGCTTTGTTGAGGCGTGTGTGGAGCATTGCACGTTATCAGTCCTGGTTAATGGTAGCCCCACTGATTTTTTCCCCTCGTCTAGAGGCCTTAGACAGGGAGACCCCCTTTCCCCGTCCCTTTTCGTCCTTGCGGCGGACTACCTCTCTCGCTGCCTCGACGGCTTCATCCGCGACTATCCTCAGATGACGTATAGCACTCGTGGCTATGGTCCTCCCGTCTCGCACCTTTCTTATGTGGATGACATCATCATCTTCACTCGAGCGGATGATTTATGGGCTGATCGAGCTTATGCACCTTCTGGAGCATTATAGCTTGGTTACTGGCCAGCTGATCAGTGTGCAGAAGAGCACCTTCACCCTTTCCTCCTCCAGCGCAGATAGGTGGGCTCAGCGAGTCCACGAGATCACTGGTTTTGCTTGCGGCGACCTTCCTATTACCTACCTTGGTGCCCCTTTATATAAGGGCAACCTCACGAGGGCGCTCTTTGGGGGCATCAGGCAGAGGATGATCGATAGGATCTCTGGTTGGTCGCATAGACATCTTTCTTTCGGTGGTGAGCTTGCTCTGATCAAGAGCACCCTTACCTCCCTTCCGATTCATTTACTTATGGTCCTCGACCCCCCTAGGTCCACTCTTGACGAGATTGACCAGATCATGGCTCGTTATTTCTGGGGTTACGAGGATGGTTCGGGGAGAGGGAGACGTACCCACTGGGTGAGTTGGGACCTTATCTGCCGCCCTCCTTCTGAGGGTGGCCTTGGCATCCGTCGCCTCAGGGATATTGTTACTACCTTCTCATACAAGTTGTGGTGGCGCTTCAGGGAAGGAAAGTCACTTTGGGCTCAGTACCTTCGCGGCAAGTATTGCTCTAGACGCGCCAACCACCCTTGTTGGGTAATGGCAGTTGCGAACGATAGCAGACAGTGGCGGCGCCTTACTAGGGTTGGTAGGCGTGCTCAGAATCACATTTTTTGGGTTTTGGGGGATGGCGAGGTTAGTTTCTGGGATAAGTGGTGGTTAGGTGATAGGCCTTTGTCTAGAGATAGGCAGGTGTCGCATTCCCCCTACCTGCTTGTGCGCGACCTTTGGACGGACGGGTCGTGGGACAGGGGGAAGCTTGATAGAGAGTTGGGCTTCGAGGTGGGTTTTAGTGAGCAGTTATTAGATCAGATCCAGCAGATACCCATCTCGGGGGACGGTTCGGATGGTATGAGGTGGAGACTTACATCATCGGGTGTGTTTTCTACTACCTCTGCTTGGGAGCAGATCAGGCTGAGAGATCGGCCTAATCTTCTCTTCGGAGCCATCTGGAGCGACCTTTTCACCCCTACCATATCTGTTTTCCTTTGGCGCCTTCTCTTGTGCCGGATACCTGTGGACACTGTACTACATTCGAAGGGGATCTCTTTCCCCTCCCGATGTGTGTGTTGTTCAGAGACTGGACGTCATAAGACCGAGACCTTTACCCACCTTTTTCTAGAGAGTGAGATTGTGAGGAGAGTGTGGGAGCATTTTGCTACTTGGACACATATATCCCTACCCTCCACAGACAGTTTTTTTGAGCTCCTGAGTTTTTTCTCACAGAGCACATACTTTAGACACGTGAGCTTTCTCATTCCTTGTCTGATCCTTTGGTTCACCTGGACGGAAAGGAATAGTGCGAAGCATAGGGATATTACGTTCTTGCTTTTTCACATTGTTTTGCAGGCGGAGAGACACATTTCGCTTCTCACAACGATGGGCAAGCTTTCTGCCTGTGACTGGACAGGTTGCACGCCACCATACCGCTACAGGGTGGCTTCCTCCTCGCCTGTTCGGTCCCCTCGGCCCAGAGCTGTTGTTTGGCTTCGACCCGACTCTCCTTGGGTCAAGCTGAACACCGATGGATCTTTCGATCGCCATAGTGGTACTGCCGGAGGAGGAGGCTTCATCAGGGACCATAGTGGAGCCCTTATCACCGCCTTCCACACATCCCTTCAGGCCTCCTCGAGCTACGATGCAGAGATTCAAGCATTACAGATTGGCCTCCAGATTGCTGCCGACCTCTCTAGTCATATTTGGATTGAGCTGGATGCTGCGACTGTCGTTACCCTCCTGACCTCGGGTCATCAGGGCTCTTGGCAGATTCAGCACCCGCTTATGCGCATTAGAGATCGTCTTCGGTCTGTCCATTACAGGATCACACACATCTTCCGTGAGGGGAACAGACCTGCTGATTACCTTGCCAGCCTTGGCACTACCATACCAGACACGCATACGTATCAGACCGACACTGCTCCACTCCGCCTTCACACGCTAGTTCGGATGGATCAGCTGGGATATCCATCGTTTCGATTTCAGTAGATCAGGGTTTTTGGTTTTGTTTTATTCAGATCCATTTACTCCGGGCATCTGTTAGCCCGATGACAGACCTTGTATTATTTTCGTTTTATGTTTGTGATTGTGAGACTATGTTGATTGTTTTTTGCCCATTTTAGGGTCTTGATCTATATACAGGTTGGGGATCCAGCCCAATCCCCCGCCCCTCGGGGCGTTGTTTGTTTAAAAAAAAAAAAAAAAACCTAGCAATAGACAGAAAACTAACCTAGCAATAGACAGACAACTAGCCTTGCAACTACGGAATAGTAACCTTGCACTCTAGACAACTAACACTTGCAAAAGCATAAAACTAACATTGCATGAAAAATCATATTCATCCATAAACAAAAGATAAATCTTAATTAAGAAAAAATCATATTTACATCAAAAGTATTACATCAAAAGTATTCCATCAAACCCAACTACATACAAAATCAATTTTCTTTGAAAGTGACAAGCTTTATCCTTTTTGGAGGATTCTTCTTTGTGATGGGACCTATGAGGATCTCGATATACACAAATCATGGACAAACATTCAAACATAAACCTATGCGCAGCGGATCTAAAGGTTTGATGTAGGAAACTTACAGCGTAAAATTTATGTAGATCTGGCTGGCCCGAATGAATGACCGCGAATCAAATCTCCTCGGAATCGAACAAACTTGACCAATCCAGAAAGCTGGCGTCACGGAAAAGTCAACGGCGTTGACCGATCGGAAATCGGAGCTTCCACGCGCTCTCACGCACGCGTGTAAGTCTCAGCAGCTGCAACCCTCCGGTGGCGCGTGTGGGCGCGTGCGGCGGCGGCTGGCGGCGATCTCGACGGCGATCTCTTCGACTCGTCGTCCTGGTCGTCGTGGTATGGTCACTTGCTGGTTTTGGTCTCCGGTTTGGATGGATGATAGATTTGATTAGAATCCCGTATATACCTTAAACAGCTATCTAGATCTTGTATCAGTGGAGCACAAGAAATAGAACAACTCCTTGGAAGAGAGAGAGAGAGGGGGCGGACGAATTCCAAGGTTATGGGATTGTGTCTTCTCTTCTAAGAGCCTAATGTTGTATATATAGAGCTACAGTAGGGACCCTAAGAAGAATAGGAT